AAGTCCACAGATCTAGAAGAGTGGCTCTCAGAGGAGCGCTGCCTCCACACGGGACCCTTTGGGGATGTGCGGGAAATGCCCTTTTAGACAGCTGCACTTCACAGAGTAATGGCTGCAAGATGCCATCTGCCCCACTCATGCCTACCACTTAGTGGGTGCTGAACAGGGGTGTGTTGAATGAACACAGGCTTGCCCAGAACCCAAGCCAAACAGTAGACAACCTAATTACAATACCAGGGTGAGCTGGTAGGAGAAAACCACCAGCTTCTAGCAGCAGGTGACATCTTAAGACTCCCTTTCCTGGCAGGGTAAGGTCTGTCCTCAGAATCATATCTCACTGTAAGGGCTGGGATATTTGTACGAGCATGACGTCTTTGTCAGGCAAATCCTAAAATCTGTTTTGCCATGGCACTGAGCAGGCACCTTGGGAATGCGCATATATCCAAAGCACTCCGTTTACTGTGTCCATTCATGTAAACCATAGCAGCTAGGAGGCCAGGCCTCACTGTCACTTTCGAACACTTTATCTTCCAAAAAATCCACTTAGTGCTCCAGAGGCAGATAGCCTGGATGTGACATCACAGAAAACTCAACACCTCAAATGAGGGCAAACTGTGGTGCCCATGGCAACTCCACAGTTCATTTTACATTTTCATCAGGTAGACAGCCAAACAGCAGTTGTTACTATTTGTTCAGAATGGGAAGTCACTTAAAGTGGTATTCTGTTGATTTCATACTTCATAAAATATAATTCTTGAAGAGATTTCTTTGTAAAGGTTTTGCTAATTAAATTAAATGAACTATCTTAAAATCTGGATTACTCTTAATAACTAAAAGAGTCCCAGTGATTACAAAAAATGGTGAGGTTGACCCCGGCTGGTGTGGCTGGGTTAGCTGCAGCATTGTCCTGTGCACCGAAGGGTCGTGGGTTCAGTTCTCAGCCAGGGCACATGCATGGGTTGTGGGTTCAGTTCCCAGTTGGGAAACATAAGGGAGGCGACTTTCAATGTTTCTCTCTCTCTCTCTCTCTCTCCTCCTTCTCCTTTCCCTCTCTCTCTAAAATCAATTAAATAAAAACATATTTTTTAAAAAGGTAAGGTTGTATCACAGGTGAGTCCACAACCTACAAGTAAGCAAAATTATTTAAAATGCCACACATAAATAGGACACTGATTACTCATGGTATGTGTGAAATTAATATTCGTGCTGTTTCAATGATCAGTGTTTATATCTCAGTACTAAAATGTTTTTGACTGTCTGACATAGAGCTCCCAAACACTAGTTCACAATCACATACACAAATTCAAAAAAAATCCAGAAAGCTGTGTTCAAATGAAAGTTTTAATAAAGTATTAAGAATCAGGCTTTTAAAGGGACAGTCTAATCTATGGTATCTCTTAAGTGGATGCAAATTTCCCATTACAACGTGTATCAAGCAGAATAATTCCTAGGGTGATGCAGGTGTTGGCACTTTGTTGTAAGTGGCATGTGCCAATCAGTCCTTTATCATACAACTTCAGATATTACAGGCATACATGGAAGCCTATTCCTTCTTCTAATTAGCACATCACAACATGGATGACAATACAGCCTGACTGGAATGGCTCTTTGCTCTTCTGGAAATGCTGATTAAAAAGATCTGGAGAGGTCTGAATATTCAAAGTCCTCCTCTCAATCCAACAGGCAGAGCTATTAAACTGCAGTCCGCATTAAGAAATCATCAAGTCCTCACAGGATGTCACCCATGGAGGACTCTCTAAATTTCATCTGCCCATGCAAAATAAAACAGCAATCTAATGAACTCAGACGTATGGGCTGATAGGTTGGTCACCAATCGTATTGCACAGGCAAGTCTGAAACTGCTTTCTGTATAAATGCCACCAGATTTTGAGGCCCAGCCCCACCCACAGTACAATTCTCTTGGCTTAAGTGACTCTCAGCCAAGTGGTGATCAGGAAAATTGTCTTTGCAAGGGAGGATTCAAAAGAATTTGTCACCAGGATACAGTGACACCAATCCCACATTTTGTGGCTAATAAAACAAGTCCTGCATCCAGCTTGGCACACTGCCCTGATCTGATTTATTTCCAGCCAAGCTGGAGGACGTACAGAAAAGGCTGCCATTCATGAATGCTTCAGGACAGGCCACCAGGGTCCCTTGGAGCAAAATTTACATGGGCCAGAAATCTCTCTGACTGACCTTTTGACCAAACCTCGCCTATTTCCTAAAGAGAGTTGGTGTATTTTTAAAAAAATACATAGTTTTATCTACAAAAATCTGTTTTTCCTGAAATTTTTCTCCCAAAAGATGTCCTATATGGATGACAAAAGGGGGGAGTGCAGGGAAAACAGAAGAAATGCTCAGATATCCGATTTAACCATCTCAAACATCAAAAGCTTGGTGTGCCCCCTCTTAGTGTAACCAAATATGAGACACGTAAGACTTCCCCGGGAAAGTCTACATTTAAGTCTACATAAGAGCCTTCATTTAAGATTTCCTGCCCCGGTACATAATTAGGAATTTTCATTCTAAAATGGCACACCTATCTCCTCAGAGAGCTCTGCTCTCTTTGAATAAAAAAGGCTAGCTGCCCTTTGGGGGACTCAGTGTATATTTTTAAACTTCTTATTATACCAACCTAATTTATGGGGCATGTTTAGGAAAAGCAGGTAAGGAGCTGACTTGGTAGATGCAAAGTTAACCTGCGGACTCCAGCGCACCACCTTTCTGCCCCCCCCC